GGGTCTTTGAGATGTTCTATAGGTTCGCTTTTCTTTTAGAAATTTATTCAAAAATCACACATTTATATCAATTAACAAACTGTATTTGGTTACAGATGGCATACAGAAAGTATTTAACATAGCTTCTAGATCGCAAAACCTACGTTCACAAGAAGTTTATGTTCATTATAAGGAATTGGGTGGACAGATCAAATTTATAAGGAACAAAAAAAAGTTTTATAATGAGGATATTGAAGATGATGGTATGACTTTTTTCAAATTAATTTCTTAAAATCATTTTAAAGTTGTGAAAGCTAATTTAAATTTTTATATAGTATCACCATACACAGCTCCAATGCCATGCAAAATTTTAAAAATTCTAGTTCCACAAAATTCGAAAATTAGTAAAAATGAAGCTATATTAACTATAGAATCTATGAAGATTGAAACAAGAATATGCTCTAGGCATGATGGTGTCGTAAAGATCTTGGTCAAGGAAGGTGATGTTGTTGATGCCGGAACTGTTTTGATTAAGATTGAACAAAATATGTGACAAAAATTTATCTATACTGATCTCAAATATTGCTTTTTTTGAATAATTAGAACAAAAAAAAGTTTTTTATTAAGTAATGAAATGTTTTTTAAAAAAAAAAAACTTATTTTTATATAAATAAATTAAAAAAATATATAATTAAAATTCTTTGCATGTAACAAACCTGAATGAAGTAATAAATTTCAAATTTATTAGTTGATAATGATAACACATAAAAAATAAATTACCGTATAAGCGCGTAATAACGCGCAGGGCGGGTATTTCGAGACCCTGCACGTTATTTCGGGACGTGCATGCGCGATAATTATACTAATTTTGGAAAAAATTTTCAACCAAGAACTTTCTTGAGGCACCATAATAGAACTAGAAAGAGATACTTAGTTTTTTTTTGAATAAAGGCAACATAAGGCGAATAAATTATAGATACAGTACATTGTTAATCCTGCAATCATATTTAATATGATAATAAATAGGTTTCAGATTTAGAGGTTATATTCAAATATACTTAAAGATTCAAAATAGCACGTGAAAGATAATCTGGTATATCTTGAAACGCGCATGGGCGTTATTTTGAATCAAATATGCCATTTTTAAAAAAGAATTGAAATTTCGAAAAACATAAATCTATTAAACATTGTTTATATACTGTATTGTATTTTTCTTTTGCTTTTTTTCCTACGTATTTCATTTGTTGATTTTACTTTGTACTAAAAAAGATGAACCTTAATTCTTGTTCCATTTCTCATTTCTATTTGAGAAGAATTTTGATAATCATTGGAATGATAAAGATAACCTTTTTTTAAAGGGATTAATATTAACGAAAAATTGGTTGGTTATAGTAGAACAGTTAACGTTAAATCAAAAGGCGTAGATATTTTCCACGATTCAACCTGAAATGAATTTAAATAACCTATAGTTGCTTCAAAAATATTGTATTTTACTAACACATTTATTTATGTATAATAAAAACGGTAAGACTAGTGTTCCGATCCTTAATCCGACCATCTGAATTGATTCTTAAATCTAGATAAATTTAAATATCCAGATCAGAGATTTTTACTAGGATTTGTCAAAGAATTTAAATAACAGACATAAGGATGTTCTCAAAGCTGGCTATATATCTAATCTGACACGGATTCAATCCGGATGGCCTGTCAAAGATAGGATCGGAACACTAGGTAAGACAACGATAATAACATTATTATTAACATGTAAACTTATTCGTCTTCGGAAAATTTAATTCAGCTACGGCGCACCGACTTGGTACATATGCCAATTTTTAGTCACATGGTAAATATTGAATATGAAGCAGGGACACGGAATTTATGCGATAAGAATTTGTAAAGTACAGTCAGACCTCGTTATAGTCACTCTAGATATAGTCACAACATTGATATAATCACACTATTTTTTAACTCGAGCTAATACAAAACATATCGATATAAAATTTGACCTTTATTTAGTCACATAATCACCAGATTCTTGTCTCCCAAGCTGGTGATTATATCGAGGTTTGACTGTATGCGTGCGGTATATACGTATAAAATATTCAATTGGTTTATCTCAAAAAAAAAACCTTGCAACTTTTTAAATACTGCGCTTAACTAAAAACTTCAATTTTTTAAATACTACACTCAACTGTTCCGTTTATGATTAACCAAAAACTGATTTATTCATCGTTAATTAAAAAACGTTTTAAATAAAATTTAAAAGTGCAACAGTAGTTCATATTGGAATAAAAAAAAAAATTATTGACAAAAAAATCCACACATAAGCCCATCTTTAAATTCAAGCGCTTTAATCTCAATGTAATTCTTTTTGATCCATACAAAAAAAATATTATTATTTTTTTTTTCTTAAAGACGAATGTATTTTTATACTATTAAAAACACTATTTAATTTACTCGCATTTAATCGGTTTGATATAATATAAATGATGTAAATTTATGCGATTTGGTTTAATCACACTAAATCACATAATTTCCGGTCCCTGATATGAAGTTATACGATAGACCAAATATAGCAAAAAAAAAAAAAAAACAAGCATAGGTTGGTACGTAGTATCCATGGGATAAATATAAATGATCCAGTAGGGGTTTTTAAAATTAATGATACGGCATCCGATTTCCAGGTTGGTGGCAATCGATCATGCAGAATACGTGTGGTACTTAAGTATATACTTAAGTATAAAATCGATATTACTTTCCATACTATATAATTTATGATATTGCTTTTATTGGATTTTTCCATGCTCTTTCTGCTCAACATTAACAACATGGGGTTGAGTCAATAGAAACCAAGCAAATATTTTTTTAATAAGTTTTTTTTTTAAATTTTAAACAAGAATAACTTAACAAAAACTTGATCAAAATTCAATAAAATTTTTTTTAAATTAATTCTACAAGTTTGTAAAAATTATTTAA